CAACATGGCTGTTCTGGCACTCTGTAAACTACCAATTGGTAGAGATAGGCAGGAATGTAGTATCAAATGAGTCACCTTATAGCACACAAATAGCCAAAAGTGTGAACTGCTATAAGGTTGTTCCGTGTATCTGCTGTGTAATATTCCAATCAAGCAGAATTATAATGCGTTGTAGTAACTTTGGATTTTTTGACTCTGTTTCTTGTATTGAAATGCAAGTCAAAAATATGGAAATGAAGATGGCAGAGAACAAAGGCACAAGGATAATGTTAAAACCAAACTGTGGCCTGTTTAGAATATACTTCAATGTAAATTTTAACTTGTCTTTCTGTCAATGCTTATGCTTTTCATGACAGAAGATGTTTAAAATTGCCACACATCTCAGGAAGTGAAGTTTGGGATTTTTTGACTTGCAAGTTTTATTTCATTGGAGTCTGGTCCTCTGATTTGTTACAGGCTAAGTGGATTCTGCAGACATTAGTTGTCCTGAGAGTCTCAACACTGTATGATGTACATTAGTGAGATTTTTGTTGTGTGTAGGAAGTCTAGTAGAAACAAGATAGAAACTAAACTCCTTGTCTGATTTAAAAATAAAAAAAAAATGAGTTGACAGCAATGGTTAGTTCACTTTCACTGTGTAGCAATTTGGTGAGAAAATACTAACCAGTGTTAGCTGTTAGGGGTTCTTTGAGTCTATTTTTCTGACTACTAATACGTTTTGTGGACCTAAATCTAAATTTGCTAGTACAGAATTTACATAACCATACTTTAGAAATTCAGTGCCTGGCATTGATTTTCTGCCAAGTAGGAGCATTGTAACAGATGGTGGAATTTTCCACCAGCCAGGTGATAACCACTGTAAAGGAGGTATTTGCCTTCCTGTAAGTCTCTTGGTTTAAGGAAAAGGCTCAATTATGTTACCAAATTGTTCTAGTATATTTGTTATAATTTGAATTATTCAATTGGTTTTATATATATGGGGTAATATGAATGCATGTTTATGAATGAATCTTAAATAATTTTCAGCTTTTCCTGTCAGTTTTCACCCTTTCATCATTATCTCAGTTGACACACAAACGTGTGGATCAGCTTCTATCAGGAGTAGCATAGTGACAGCTCAAGCATTTGGTACTACTATGCTTTGTACAGTAGAAACACAGTATAAAATATTTGCAGTTATTCTTAGGTCAAGGAGTAGTGGAGTAATGAATTGCTCATGAGTGGTAGGAAGCAAATAGTCTCTCTAGAGATGCTTGGCTTCATTCAGGTTGTGCTGGCTGGAGAAAAGAACAGATGGCAACTGGTAGTGTAGCAGCAGGTGCAGCAGGAGTAAAAGCAGATTGTTGTCATCCTCTGATTAGGTCATGTAAAGGTTTTTCCCATTTCTTTTCAGATCTGCTTAATGAGAGCTGGGCACTCTGCTATTCCTCCTTTCATGTTAAGAGTTAGTTCTGAGATTATTTTTTCACCCTTAGCAGTAGGGAAGTCCTTTGTCCTTTGATTTTTAGCATGTAGATATGACAGACATAATCAGCACAAGCCACTTTCAGTATGTCTTCAGTACTGCACTGGGACAGCTCAGAACAGCATTGGAGATGTGCTAGTGGATTAATACAGGTGAGTACTTTCACTGAAGAAGAGAAATCTGAAAGAGCTTTTGGTGCATGAGCTGTTGAGATTTGAGTGCTACAGGTAAAAAGTTTACCTTGAGGAGGTCAAGTTCTGTACATTCATATTCTTGAAACAATTGAAAATAATTCTCAAAAGAGCTTGATTCAGCACTTAATAGGCAGGCCTTTTAGTCAATTCTGTTGACATCTATAGGAATAAGCTTGGATTCCAGGGGAAATTAGTCTTTACAAAGAAATTAAATGCACCCCCTTCACCTTCCCCACCCTCTCCCCAAATAAAATAGAAGGGAGTGAACAAGGAACATGTGTATGGTCTTTTGTATAGAGCTCTTGTCATGCTCCAGGGTGATCTTGGGGGATATGGTAGGAATGGCTTTCTAACTGTAAAATCACAGCACAGAGGCAAGCTTTTTAACTGTTGTGGAGCAATTAAGTCTTGCATTGTCAGTTAAGTGCAGGTCTTGTCTGTCAGCCGTTTCTACTCCCACTGCTTTAGGGTTGTCCTGCCCCTTGTAATGATAGAGCTTCACAAGTGCTTGACAGGAAACAAATGAGGAAATCGGCAGAGGTACCCACAACTTAGGTTTACTTTTACCTGTGATGTTTTTTATTATCATCCGATAATGTTTTGTGGCAATCTAATTTCATATGCATTAGGAGGCAAACAAGTGCATATCTTTGAGGTTTTTATCTCTTCAGACTGTGCTTGGTCTTGTACATCTGTATCTGTAATATGTTATGCTTACAATTTGAAGGCTTCTTCAAAACCACAGATACTGGGAACTTCCTAAAATGAAAGTGGTCTGTAGAATCTGAGTGCTTCCTGCCATGGAGCATTGCTTTCTTTCTGCATGGTTAGCTCTTGAAAATTTCCTCTAACAACAGAAAGCTTCTGAATGTATTAAAAAGCCTTTTGAGTTCTAGGTCATGTTTGGTCTTATCCTTTCTGCATGTTATCATGTAAGTAACATTTCTTTGTATGGTGGTGATAAACACACTTCCTACTGAAAGCAGGCACTCATGTATGCATCCTCTAGAGCCTGTCAGATCTTTCTCCTCTGTGTTTAAACTTACAAAAAGTGCATTTAAAAATACAATGAGTAGACTTTGTATTTATGTTATTTTTAAACTTACAAAGTTAAAAGTGTGGGGGGGGACAACGTTGTGCTAAAATCAGCAAAACACATCAATGTTTGCAAAACTTATAGCAATTTTTTTGTCATTATTAGCATTCTAGTTATTTTCTGTTTTGAACCTTAAACTGCATACCTCCCAGGGTAGGAATCAGTGTACTGTATCTCCAACTAAGCTGGATGCAGTGCATGCTGAGCATTGCTGGGAGTGGGTGTGATCACATCCTCAAATATATTATCTGTATGTTCTGCCAGTGTGGTTAAACATTGCCTTGTGTCTTTTGATTATAGTATGTTGGGTGTTAGACCACAGTCTGAGATACAAAGAATTTGCCAGGTTGATTTATCCAAAATACCAGCTTCCATGTTATCTTTTTTGTATGTTCTCTTTGTGTTTTGAAGCTTCTGTTTTTCATTCCTGGTACATCCAGTAGTATGGTTGTAACTTCCTTTGCAGTCCTATATATGGTGTGCATTTGAAATTGTCACTGAAATAACACTAACCTGGTAGGTCACCTTTGTCTTTTGAAGCTCTAGTCTGTTGTCATTTCTTAGCATTTATAGGACTACTACTCTGAAATTCAACAAATGTAATGAAAGTGTCAAACAAGATCCTTGGGTGAACTGGAAGAAGTTTTAGTACAACTGTATAGGAGAGGCAGTCTCTTTTTTTTTTTTTTTTTTTTTCCTTCTCCCCCTGGCCTTGTTCAGATGATAGTTGTGGGCAGCTCTGTTTACATAACAGCATCCTGTATCCTGGGGATGGTGACAAGAGAAAGCTTGTCCTAATGTAACTGCCTAGGCATGAACTTTGCAGACTCCTGTCTGGATTAGTCTCTGCTAAAGGACTACTTAGTTGAACTTCCTTTTTTTAATTGATGCTGCCACTTCTTGGAGCTATTTATAGTTTGGCAGTCTTAAATAAAAGCGGATAAGTAAATGATTACTCCTGAATTGCTTTTTAGAGGGCTCAAGTTAGTTGTGTATTGGTTTTGATGCATGACACCTGGAGTATGTGCATATTAAATTTGCATATCATGTGTTTGGACAAGGTTGTGTAGGGGAAGAGATTGTGTAGTAATGGGGAGAAAGTTTTTTTTCAGTTGCTGCATGTGGTCTTTTAATACCCTTTTGGATAACATCTGTTTGACTTGCTGCAGATAGGACTTTCGCTAGCTCTTTACTGTCAGCACTACAGGGCCTGAATTGTTGCAGGGAAACTTAGCTATCGTGTATAGTCTGTGATACATCAACAGCAAAACTGTCCACTAAGTGCCCGTTCTGCTACCTGTTGGTATAATTGAGTATGAAGCAGAAAGTCTACTTTTATTTCTGTATTAGGTAGTAAGAGTATGCTCTGGTATCAGTGTTTTTCCCTACCAGTCTGAACGTATTTTGTATGAGTTTAAACAGTGTATATGAGTATTTGAAAGCAAAGAAACAGAAGAATGTGCTTTGGTTTTGACTGACCTGGACTGAAGATATATACGTATTGTGTAATCTACCTGCAGAGATTTTCTTTTTGTAACTTGCATATCCATGGAAATTAGGTGGAAGGTACCTAGATCAGTTTGTCCCTGGGCCTAGGTATAGACGGTGCTGTTCATTTGACTGGCCTTCTGGATTTAAGGGAGAGGTGACTTGCTGAGTTTGGTGGAAGCAAGTGGAGAGTAGCATGCATTTGTTTGTAGTGTAGCAATTTTAATACAATCCAATGTTCATCTACAGCGCTTGTCACTCACAAGCAAGGAGTGCTGTGCTGCTGATAAAAATAGATTGGGCTTGTTCTGACCTTTTAAAAATGCCGTTAATACAGTAGCACAGGCTTTGCCTTAGAACATCTGACTTTTAATTCTGATTGTGAAGTCAAGTGAGGTAAGTAGAACTTGGATTGACTGTAAATGACTTAGCCACTTAGCAAATCCTCTTGAAGAACCATACTTGCTTGCCACCTGCTTTTTACTGAGGGTATGTAGGATGATTAAATACTGGCATGTTATGAGGTAATCTCCCTTGCCCATGCAGCCTCTTCCACCACTCGTTTGGTACCCAGTGGTCCTCTCCTCAACACCAGAGAGTGATGACTCCGAAAATGTATCGGTTAAACTGCTGACTGTGATAAAACAGCTAATGGGTTTTGGTGCGTGCTTTCCACTGTGATTATGTGGCTTATGCTATCAGTATGTGAACAGCAATGTGAAATGCTTGTGTTCTATGGAGCTTTTGATTTTTCCGTAGTTTTCAGTTGACCAAAGAAATGGTGATGGAGAAGCCAAGTCCCCTGCTGGTCGGGCGGGAATTCGTGAGGCTCTGAACCAAGCACCTGACTATTTGCACAGGTAAAGCTCTGCTTGACTCTATGATCTGTTTTTGTGTGAATGCCTTAATTTGTATGTTAAAATTGGTGAATAAACTTATTACCATGTCTTGGCTTGCTGAATTTGGACACTCAATCTCATTTACTCAAGGCAGACTCTGTAGTTTGCTCTAAGTTTTTAATCAGCTAGGTTAAAACATGGATAATAAAGATTACAGGAATTTATTTAAATATCTGTGTTCTGGTTGTTACTGGAAGGCTGCTATGCACGCATTCTAAGCAAAAAAGAAAAAATGTAAATCAAAAGTGTGTTGCTTGCTACTTCTAGTTGTAATCATTGGATAAATGTTATTGCCTTAAGTATTTTTGTAGTTTGTCTTAATACAGTGGCCCCTGACTAGAGGAAAAAACCACTGAAAATAGTGTATGTTTGTATATTGGTATGTCTCAGTCACACTAGCAGCTCTTTCTTAAAGGAAAATCAGAAATTATGAATGTGCAGCAAACTACAATCTGTTACCTAAATAAATTAGTCCTGTTTGATATGACAGGTATCCTAAGTTGCTAGAACTAACCTCTTTTTTTGAGGATGCACTTTGTTTTGCTGTGCTTTGAGTAGCTAGAAAACAATTTCTGAAACTTTCCTTCTTCCAATCTCAGGAACACTTATTCAGAGTGTTGCTCCACTTAGGTGGACAGCTGACCTCATCCATTTGGTTCAGAGGAAAGTTTAGAGTGTGCCATGGAATTCAGTTCTAGTCTTTTATCTGCTGACAGAATGCAGTCCCATCATGTCTAACATTTTAGCTTGTAATCCCTCAGTTATAGAATGGAAGATTTACTTGCAGTACTTTCTTTACTGTAGATGAACAAAAAAGTACATTGCTTCTTGCTTAAGCTTTAAACTAGAACTTGTGGGACAGCCTCCTGGTGTTCAGGGTACTATGTTGCTTTAGGGACCTTGTACAGAAAGGGGAGAATGGGATTGGATCGTCTATCTCCTATGAGACTCTGGTTTTGGCTATTAGTGCTTGGGTATCTGACATATCTGAATGCTACAGCTCACACAGGAGAACTTTGTATTGATCAAAGGGAAAAATGCAGCCCCCTGCCCCCAAATTACTAACAGGATTGTGTAATTGTATGGCTGTATTCCAATAATACAGACATAAAACTTGCTTGAGTGTATTATTCATGATCTACTCTAATGTAGAGGCCTGATGTTCTTACATTACAAAGCTTAGTGTTACAATATTTCTTTCCAACAGGTTTTATGGAAAGAACTCTTCCTATGTCCATGGTGGCTTGGATTCCAATGGAAAACCAGCTGACGCAGTCTATGGACAATCTGTAAGTACTTAAAAAAACCCAACACCTTACTGTTCTTTCCTTCTTTTTTGTCACCTTTGTGGTCAAGAAGAGACACATACCCAGCTGTGATTCATCCCCGCTTTGTCCAAGTGCTTTCTGTGTTTAAAAAAAAAAAGTAGAGGAAGCCGCCTAACTGTAAACAGCAATAGTTGGGCAAGATATATGCTTCCTTTAAAGTTCATAATGTAAAATTGCTAGCAAAGCAAACTTAGAGCACTCTGCCAAGCTTTCTCTCTAGAGTTAGGGAATATATTCTAAAACAGTGTTTTATGTTTCTGCTTTCTTTGAAAGCTGCTGACTTAGCAGAAGTGGCTTCTGCAGTGTAACCTATGTACTGTCTTTCATAGGATATCCACAAGAAGGTGCTGTCATTAAACTTCAAGGATTGCCACACAAAGATTCGTCATGTGGATGCCCATGCTACTCTCAATGATGGTGTTGTAGTCCAGGTGATGGGAGAGCTTTCCAATAACATGCAGCCCGTGCGCAGATTCATGCAAACATTTGTACTTGCACCTGAGGTATGCTGTATTGAGTACTTGTGTTATTATAGTACTTCTAATACGTCAGGATTAATGAGGTCTGTCTGGTTCAGTGTTGGAATCCTAAAGGTTAGACTAGGAAGGTAGTTTGCCACAAAATTCAGCAGTAATGTTCTGCAGATTCCTTAGGAAATTACATGTATAGTCATACGTTAACCTTGGATATCAGAATTACAGTTGTAAATACCTAGTAGCCAAAAGTTAGGATATGTGCAATGCATATTTTTTAATGCATTTTAAAGTTACTTTATCTTTGACTTGCACTCCTAGCAACTGGTCCTCTTACTGAAAAGAACTAGTAGAAAGAGGAAAATGCTTCCTGTTGTTTAGAGACATGGGTTCCAGACTTTCTTGTCATATAAAGTGCTGACCTAGCATTTAAGGTGGCTTTTTGAATGGACACATTTTCTGAGCAGAACAGTTTACATAATTGAAAATGATAGTGAAAAAAGGAGGATTGCATGATCACTTTATTTTTCCATTTCACTGGGAGCTAAGAATTGATACTTTAGATCCCAGAAAGTTCTCTCTCCTACTTTTTTCAGTGTTGTGAGCTATTGGAATTAAAAGCACTAATATGAATTTTTCCCATTGTTCAATGCATACTTGACTTGCTAGTATGGTGCATCTTTTTTTTTTTTTTTAACCTGAATAACACATTTTGTTAAAGGAGGCAAGTTTGGACTAATCCTGTGTGGGAAGGGTGACTTGCTCAAGCTGCTTGTTTTCTCATTATTTCATTTTTTTACATTACTCCAGTTGACGTAATTGAATCAGTTCTTCCCTTTTGATTTGCTTCTAGGGTTCTGTTGCAAACAAGTTTTATGTCCACAATGATATCTTCCGCTATCAAGATGAGGTTTTTGGTGACTCTGATACTGAGCCTCCAGAGGGTAAGTAGGAATAATTTTTGGATGGTTCTACTGGTATTTGTTTCTGGGTCTATATCAACACTCCATTCCCAAACCAGAGGAAATCTTGCTGGAGAATGCAGATCAGCATTAAGCTTCATCATGTGCTAGGTTTTTTCCCTTGCCTGTAGTTTTCTTGAACTCCAGCAAGGAGCTGCGACATGCAGATAATTATTTTTCTGTCATATTCTGTTTATAGTAAAAGAATCGTAAGACTTATTTTAGCAGTCAGTCAGATTTGTAGGCTATAAATCTGCTTCTCTGAAGTATTTGTTGTTTGACCTTGGTCCAAACTGAGTAACGGAAATGATAGCAGAAGTATAAGGAAATGTCTGTTCCACGTCACATCTTGATAGTGCTTTCCGTGTACTCTTCGGCAGAGATTTCACCTGCATGTTATGGAACATGCCTAACATTGGAACTGAGTACTAAAGATATGTGGTGTATTTTTTCCTTTTCTAACTTCATTTAGAATCAGAGGAGGAAGGGGAGGAACCTGAGGAAAGACAGCAGACACCTGAGGCTGTTCCTGATGATACTGGTGCTTACTATGAGCAGGCTGTCAGGTAATAATATCTTATTAGATGAAGTCAGATGTTGTGTAATACAGACTGCTTGTAGAACAGGTCAAATGAATTTATTCCTACTCATGATTTTTCCCCTTTGGCAGTCAAAAGACTTCTGTTTATTTGGCAGCTGAAACCGAAGTGCTGCTAGTCTGAACACAGAGACTCTAGATTTTCAGTAGATGTAATACTTTTGCTGCTCTACAGTGTAGCAATGCGAAACTTGCATCCCTGTGCAATGTGGCCTTATTTAGACAGACTACCCTTGTTCTTCTCAAATGCAATACATGTGACTTCTGTATTGGACAAGTAACATTCCTTACTACCCAGTAATAGAATCAAATGTGATACTATCTCTCTGTTTTGGCTGTTTTTTGTGGTGCTAATAGCAATGACATTGAAGAACACCTGGAAGAGACAGCTGCAGAGCCAGAGCCTGAGCCAGAGCCAGAACCTGAACAGGAACCTGAACCAGAGGTGCAGGAAGAGAAATCTGAGCCGGTATTAGAGGAGTCGGCTCCAGAAGAGACTGTGGAAAAGAGTCCTTCTCCAGCTCCTGCTGATCCAGCTCCTGCAGTGCAAGAAGACTCCAGGGTAATGACAGTGGATTACTGTTTTCTATGATGATGTGGTTTCGTCAGTATGTTTGACACTCCTGTCCCTTTACAAAGCATGATCCTCTCTCTGGCAAGAGGAAAAATATCTGGAATTAAAGTGTTCTTTCCCTGCCCAAACTACTCTTCTCATGATCAGTTGCTTCCTTCCCATTATTTCATATATAATAACAGATAGTTGAAATTCTAGCTAGTAAGTAGTTGGTTAAAATACCAGGAGCCAAGGTAAGGCCTTTTATATTTGGTATGTATGGGAACTGTGGCAGCAGTGAGAGGTTCAGAAACTTTTTTTTGTAAACAGAGCTGCTGAAATTCTGAAAAGACTGCAACCAACATGCTGAATCAGGAAAAGGGGTGAAATGCAACTTTATTTCTACCTGAGGATTTTTGTCACTCTTCAGTGTTAATGGAGGCAAAAGTGGACAAATGAGTACTTAAGAAACTAATACTTTGATTAACTTTGATGTGATACTTGGTCTTAGGCCACTGCTGTGTCCTATTTCAACTTTACATAGAATTTAGAAATAGGGTGGAAGTGAGAGTCCATTGTCATTATACTAAGTCTTTTGAATGGAAATGATTTCAAGGAAGTTGTTGGTAAACTGCTAGTGGCTGGATCCAGGATTTCAAGGACAGGTTAAAACTTGTTACTGTTATCCTGTGTCTGTTAGCTGTACCATCGGGAATACTTTTATCTTTCTGAAATATATCTGGAGTTCAGTTCCAGTCATCGTCTCTTTTTTTTTCTCTTTTCCAGACATTTTCCTGGGCATCAGTAACCAGTAAGAACCTTCCTCCCAGTGGAGCTGTTCCAGTATCAGGAATACCACCTCACGTTGTGAAAGTACCAGTCTCGCAGGTAGGAATCCAGTACTTAAATAAGTGCTCAACTTGCTGACAGTAAACTGAGGTGGGGAAAAATACAGTGAAATCTGCTTGCTTATGATCTGAATTCTCAGACTCCAAAGATTTTCAAATTCAGTGTTTCACAATAGACTTCGTAAATGTTACTCATTGGCTTTTGGGTTGAGAAGGAATTGTTCCTCACAGAGGAAAACCAGGGAATGTTCATGCAGATGGATGTATCTGCCATCTAAAATGATGCACTTCTTAACAAGAGAGGCAGCTTTTCTAATTTTTTTCCCTGCTCATGAATGAGGTTTTGTCATGAATGAGTTTATGTAATACAATCTATCTGTGTAACTGCCACTGCACTTTGGGCAGGAGCTTTACTGTATATAACTGTGAATGGGGCAACTTTGAAATTCTAGCTTAGTCAAGTGGCATGTTTGCTTCTAGCATAAACTAACATGAGTTTTAATCACAGGTGGAAAGAACTACGTTTTTTCCCCTGTATTTTTAAAGTTACTTTATCAACAACTTGATAGTGAGCTCTTAAAAGCTGAACCATACTGTTATGTCTGATTCTTTCCTCTTAACTCCTTCTTGAATTTGTACAGCCCCGCCCTGAGGCAAAGCCTGAATCTCAGACCCCACCTCAGAGACCTCAGAGGGATCAGCGAGTAAGGGAGCAACGAACAAGCATCCCTCCTCAGAGGGGTCCTAGACCGAGTAAGAGAAGCTACAAAGAATAAACTGTTGTCTGCTATTTGGTTTTGGGGAAGCAATATGATGATTAAAGCTTTTAAAGTCTTATTAATTTTGTCAGTAAGTGAATGACTTCTGTGGATATGGTTATTGTAGATGATCTTGGTCTCAGTGTCTGGTGAGCTTCAGAGCTGAATTTCACTAGCATTCTACTGAAGTATCTAGGTTTCTACTTAAGTGTTTGGCTTCAGGTGATACAAAGCAAACAGAAGCTTGCTTGTGTAGAATGCTTACCTCTATTTTTTTATACATGAATGAATAAATTGAGTGTAAATTCTGATTCTTTTATAATGTGCCCATTCTGACCATGACTTTTTTGTTTGTGGGGACTGACTTTTCTTAATTTTTACTTTTCTGTTCAAGTTCGTGAGGGTGAACAAGGCGATGTGGAAACGAGACGGATTGTGAGATACCCAGACAGTCATCAGCTGTTCGTTGGGAACCTTCCCCACGATGTGGATAAAACTGAACTTAAAGACTTTTTCCAAAGTAAGTTAGTTGCTTTGCTGTCCTCTCAGGGTTTGGGGGTTGTGGCCATAAGCGTGGTAAACAGAGCATTCTAATGTATGACCCAAGAACTTGGCTTTTCTCTTGCAGGCTATGGCAATGTTGTTGAACTCCGCATCAACAGTGGTGGAAAGCTCCCCAATTTTGGGTTTGTGGTGTTTGATGATCCTGAACCAGTTCAGAAGATCCTTAGCAGCAGGGTAAATAAACTTCTAGACAGTGGGTTTTGGTCAGTTAATAACAGGCAATGTTTTTCAGATTACTCTAACAAGAAAAGATTCTACTTGGTCCTTTCTTAACCATCTTAAAGTAGGTGGGATATCTTTTCTCCTATTGCCAAGACTTGTGCAGCATTTGTACAGATTGAATCTTTTGTCAATGAAGTGGCTTGTAACAATTGAGGTGAATATGAATTCATTATGGAGCCTTTTTCAAATGGGAAGTTGCTGAGCTCTACACAGGAAGCAGGTAAAAAGCTTTCAGGAAGGCAAGGTAGAGTCTGACTCTGGACAAGTAGAATCCAGTTGAAGAGACTGAAAGGGAGAAGCTATACTAGTGCGCAGGTTGAAAAGAATTTTTACTAAGACAGACTCAGCTTGTTAGCAGTGATTGCTAATGCAGGATATGTACCCCATGGCTGTACAGTGAGGTGGTAGGCAATGAATCTGGATGCACCATAACAGCTGTACATTGTGCTTGCTTACAACCCAGTTTTTCACCAGACAGTATTGTCGGCGTATTTATGTTCTTAAATTCAAAGGTAGCTTGTGTGCAGATTTTTAAGCCTTGAGATTTGGTCTGAGTTTGGGATATTTCATGTGGTTAGGCACCTTTAGCTGTGGGATGCCAGCAACATTTGTGGCAATGCTTGGTGAGTTAGTGCATATGAAGCCCAGCAATCCTAGAAGTTCTTGCAGGGAGCTGGTGATTAAATACCTGAATGCTGATGAAGAGTTGCTTCTGTAAGTGTTTTCCTAGTATGGTGGGCTGAGCAGTTCCAGTGTGCTCTAGGGTAAAGGCTAAAATGGGTGATTTGAAACAAGTGCTAAGAGTAGATTGAGTATATGTGGTTCACTTTGGCCTGAATTGGTGTGGGAACAGGTAGTACAGTGACAGTGGGTCCTTAAGCCATTTCTTAGCCACAGGCAGTATGTGAACACCTTTGGCAGTGACTTAAACTTGCATGTTTGAGTTTTTGCTGAAACAAACTAGAAATGTTCGCTCATGAGCTCTCTTGCAGTGGGAGAGGTAGCTGAGAGCTCAGTGCCAGACTTCAGTGAATGCCGAAGGCACACTCAGCTGAGGGATTTGTGGCCTTTGTTTACTTGTTCAACTGTGCTACTCAGTGTAACTGGAGCCAGAGAAGTGAGTGGATGCTGGTTTCCGAGTTAGACTTTTAATGTGTAGTAAGCTTGCAAAGTTGGTGCACTTGAAGTATCTTTTCTGCTAGCCCATGTAAATACATAAGTTATAATGCATGGGCATGACTTTCTGAAAAAAATATTTTTTTAATATAGACTTAAGTCCTATAAAAGCAGTTTAACACCCCTTCTACCCTGCTTTGAATAGCACTAAATTCTGTTTGTAGTAGCCACTGTGAATTGTTTTGCAAATGGGCCCAGTGCTTTGAGCAAACACATGCCCTGAAACAGTAGGACTTTTTTCAGGATAAGCTTTGCTATAAATGAGTTTAAAAGACTTTGGCAGACTGTTAGCCTGTGAAGTTAAACCTGATGTCTGCTGCCTGATGTGAAATGTGGGAGTTTACGCTGGAGTTGGTAACAAGGCTGTAACATGATGCCTTGATCTCTTTGTCCAGTACAGCTGATGAGTAGAGGAGGGCAATGTGCTTCCTCCTTAGATCTGTTCCACTTTGATAGTTTGGTAGAAGTGAATGGCTCTTCTTTCCATTAGATGAGAAAGCATTGTGCCTGTGCCAATGATGGATCATATTTTTCAGTTTCTTGTTTGTTATGCAACTGCAGGAGTAATTTGAAACAACAGAGTCCTTACTCCTGTGGTTCTTGGATTGTTGCACACTTTGGCTTTTTGTCTGCAGTGAGGTTTGTGTGATGTTGCAGTCCTGCTCTCCTCTGGTTTTGCTTCAGTGGGGTTTACCAAACAGGTGACCGCTTGCTGCTGCAATTCTAAAGAATTGGGCTTGACCCAAGTGAAAGACTTCACTGGCCTGTATAGCAAGGTGGCAGAGAGGATCTGACATTCTTCATGTCATAAGAAAAATTAACCAGGACACTGCATGGTGGCACACTGTTAACTGCCACATGTTAGTGAAAATAGGTTACTGTTAATGGTTCAATTCCTTTTCTAAGCACTGTCAGAATACTCAGTGTTAAGCCTGAAATTGCTTTTCAAGTGTTGCTCTTTCACACCCTAAAGCACAAGACTGGCTGTGTAGTTTGACTATTGTCGATTTCTAGTAACCAATCATAAAACATTTTAACTTGCTTTGGAGAAGAGGATATGAGACAAGGTTGCAGAAATCTGCTTGACATTGAAGAGTTACTGGTGAGTCGTTAATGAAAGCACCTCTTCTCCTTTTGTTGCAGCCCATCATGTTCAGGGGAGAGGTGCGCCTGAACGTGGAGGAGAAGAAAACGCGAGCTGCCAGGGAGGGTGACCGCAGAGATAACAGACCACGTGGACCTGGAGGCACTCGCGGGGGGCTGGGAGGTGGGATTCGAGGGCCTCCACGTGGAGGAATGTCCCAGAAGCCAGGATTTGGAGCTGGAAGGGGGATCGGGCAACGCCAGTGAAGGCATCGTGGATGTTGACATGGTGGCGCAAACCCTTTTTCCTGCAGATTTGTGAATTTCAGCCTTGGGTATCTTGGAATGTGGCCCTAGCCTGTTATAGACTGCTACGTTTGATACTATTTTGGCCCCTTTTTTGTTTGTGTTATGGTTTTGTGATTTTTTTTTTCTAGTCCTTGTCCCAGATTCCAGCTTTGTGGAACAACGTTTTAGGAAAAGTGGATTTTAAAAAGAAAAGAACTGAATTTTCTTGTTCACCTCAAACTTACGGACTGGATTTTTTTGGTACCAGTGGTTTTTCCTAAAGGAATGTCTTTATTTTTTCTTTTTATTTTTTTCTCCCCCCCTTTCTACTGAATTTGGGTGCATTTCAGTCAGTGGAATAATATTTCACGTGCATGCGTTCAAGAGCCTGTAGGAAAACATAGTACTTGGCAAGTATTTCAAGGGCAGAAAAATGAAACTATTGATTTATTCTTTGAGGGTCGTATGAACATCCTCTGGTCTGGAGATATTGCCACTTGAAAAATTGACATTTACCTTTCTCTCTGTGGCGCTGTAAAAGTGGAATAATGGGTATCCATAGAAACTTTTTTCTTTTGATACGTGATCACGGAAAGGAATTTGAACTACTGTTTTACCACTTTAAAATTTTGGATTGTGGGATAGGTTTTAAATGTCTAGAACTTGACTCTTAAAACACTTTTCCTGAACTTGTGAAATTTTTTATTGAAATAGGAAGTTTTTTTCATGTTTAGTTTGTATTTGTATAAAAAAAAGCAAAATTGTTGTGCCTTCTATTTATCTCTCATTCCAGTCTTGGCAAATTGTTTAAAAAATAAAATAAAAAAGGTCTAGATTTGCTTTATCAAGTCAAGAGTATGTTGGAGTTTTTCCAAGGGAAATAGGTTCTTCCTTCAGTCACTAGGTTTACTAGGTAGAGCTGGTTACAGCTGAAGCTTCTGTTGATCAGTTTGGCTGCATTTAAATAATTGAAAAGAAGTACTTTTTGGATGCAGAATTTAATAACTTTAGAGGGCTGGGTGAGCCCCACTACAAATGTTGCAGAAGTAGAACTGAAAAAAATGGAATTACTTCTGTCCCATCCTTTACAGTTCAAACTACTGTATGTTATAGAGTTATTTTTGCAGTTTAGGCATTTATTTAATCCCCTGCTTCTACCAGACCTGAAGTAGATGGGTGGCATTTTTGTCAGAAGTACAGAAGGTAGTCAGTACAGGTCTGTCCTGGTATTAAGATGTTGAATGCTGTCCACTACCTCTGAAAGAAGATGAAACTGAAAATAAAATGCAAATCTGGGTAACCTAAATCAAAGATCTTGTAAGATTTGCACAAAGCAGTATTATTTCTATAATGTGTGGTGTTAAACATCTGTATGACAATGGCAGTTTTGAGGCTACACCAGACCTTCAGAGCATGGTAATACAAAAGAGCTGCTTATTAAGTTTGCTTATCTGTGTCAGGGTTCAGTTTCCATGTTTTCTTGATTTATTAATATGATTGCTGTGTGTATGCAGAGTATATCTCTTGACCTTTGCTTGCTTTAAAGCTAGAGCAAAGCTGCCCTTGCCCAAAGGGTGGATAGGTATTACCTGTTCCAGAACAGTAACTTTTTGCCTTTTGCTTGCCAAACTCAGTGGTTGAGTCTGGTTGTACTAAATAGTAGAGTTTTGGTTTCTGTTTTATTTTATCTTCACAGTTGTTATGCTCTTTTGTCCTTTCTCTCTGTACGAATGTTTCTCAGATTGACTTGCATTCTATTCCTGAAGACTTAAATATCTTGGTGAATTGGAGGAGAGTGAAGTGTGACAGCAATGGCTGTAGTATACTCTCATAGCCAGCATACTGGAAATGCATAATGCTTCCTCTTGTGGTGGTAACTGGTATTTTTTGGGGGAAAAAAGCTTTCTACATTTTTCATATGGGGAATGACTGTGAGGTGAAGATATTCAATGGAAATCTTTAATTGAGCTATGTCCTTGTTGTTTGTGATACTTTTTCTTTTGTTGGGGTTTTTACTGTTCTTGATGTTAAATCCAAGACTGCGGTAACAGGTTGCACTTCAGACTTATCAAAGTGCTATTAATAGAAGCTTTTATAGCTCTTAACCAAATCTACAAAAGCACCCATAAGCCTGAAACACCATTTCTGTAGTGGGAGTTGGACAATTCTGGCTCACTGTCTGGTTTGAGAAAGAACTGAGGAATGTCAGTGAAGAATTTGAAAGCCTATAAGGTGAAGTGTATGCTTGTTTTCATATGAATCATACTCTCAATATGTTAAATAATAAAAGACCTGGAAAGTGATGTTCTTGTCCAGGATGACAGGCAAAATAAAATATTTACATAACACTTTCTTGGAATGTCTTATAAAGAAACACTTTTCAAAAGCAAGTTATGTTGGCAGCATCTTTCTTGAACAAAATGTAGAGTGACTTGTAGTATTTGGACATTGGTTGTTCTGTGACTAGCTAATAACAAAGTATACTGAAAAGATCTGCTGTAAAATGTTGTCACGTTGGCTGTTTTGTTTAAACTTCCCAGTAGCCTCAAGCCCTTCTGGTTTCTCCATTGACTGTGCTGTTAAAACCTCAGTATCTCTTGTCTAATGTCTTCAATGCTTGCATACATTAATGGCCAAGATGACTATGAAGAAGTCATGATTCGATTTGCCTTAGCTGGCTGCAGTGAGATAGAAGAACCTCTAATCAAGATAGCATTTTCTTTCCAGAAAGAGTTAAGCTACAGGGAAGTCTCCAATGAACAGGTCTAGGTCTCTCCCCGCTAGCACCTCCACTTCAATTGAGACAATGAGGTGGCATTTGCTGAAGTGCTGTTGATGTCTCAGTGCTCTGCAGGGAATAGAAGTTGAGAAAAGTTGGTCAGACCTGTCATAGGCAGTTTTTGTACCCACACAAGCGACATGGACAGTGTCAGGAACAACCTTAATGATCTGCCCTTCTGAGAGCATGAGGGATTTCAGGCATGATCTGGCCTCTTCTGACTGATCTTTGTAGTGTAAGTAGAAACAAGACTGTTTAATTTACAGTAGTATTTCATACCACCCAAACCGGAACTGGAAGTCATGCTGCCTTTGCAGCATTGCACAATTAACCAGGCATAGTTATCCCTTGTGCGGGAAGAAGCTCCTAAGTACCAGCTGACTCGCATGGAGCTGTTGTGTAAAGTTGAGCTGAAATCTTTGTCCTGAAGATTCAGGCAGGGATCACTGGCCCTGCAGCACCCACCTCATGATGTTTTGGGATTTTTTTGTCCTGAAAAAGAATTTGCGTAGAGCTGAAGCTCTAGTGTCCTGGGAGTACGCTAGCCACATACAGGCTAATGTGGAAGTGGTGAGCATGCTGTTGGAAGTAGGGCTTTGCGGAGAGGATTTACTCCTGGAGTAGGAAACAGCCTGTCTGCTAACCTGCTGTGTGATAGCAGTGAGCTCTGACTTGAATCTGAATGAGAAACATTCTTCAGCAGTGTCATGGGAGGATTGTCCTTTACACCTGGGAGTCCACTTTCCTCGGTGAAGAGGGTGGCTCTGGGTGCAAGTATGAGGATTTGGAGTTGATTTTCTGCAGCTGCTGATTCTGCATCTCTGAGGGACATCATCTTTTGAACAAAATGTGGGTTTTTTTAATTGTTTCTCTTTCTTTACATGCTACTGCCTGGGGGTAAGACCACATGGCGCACCAGCAGTTTCCTTAAGTTGTGCATGCTTTAGCAGGAAGTAATTATCTCAGTGATTATTTCATTTCCCAGCAGTACCATTCTTACCCTGGCTGGTAACTTGAAAAACTGCTCTCCTAAGATCTTGATAATCTTGTTTACATGTTGTGTGGAAGGTGGGGCATGGGGGTTTGTTTATAGCTTACCTGGTTATGAGACATGAAACACTTGAGTAAAATGCTTTCAAACTCCATCATTCCTTAAAGACAGCAGATTTTTACAGTAATTGTGTGTTCTCAGAAATAGACTTGAAGGGCAGGATGTTGCCCTTCTGTTTTCTGTCACAAAATGCCACTTACCAAGCCAAGTGGGATCTGCTGTTCCGCTGATGATACTTCAAACTTGTCAAAGCACCTGACTGTGGAAGGAAAAATACTTTATCATGTCCATCTTTGAGATTCAGTGTCTGTGGCAGTCCTTAAGTGTTCTGAAGCGTCATTTTTGGGTGTCTGCACCCAGGTCAGTTCATCTACTGAAGAATGTTAAGGCTATGTATAAATTATGCCATGTCCTAGCTTGCAAAGTGGTACATGAAATACCTTTTTGTATATAGACCCTAGGCCTAAACAGCTAAGCTCCTTGCCAGGAACTATTTCAGCTTGCATGAGAACTAAGGCACAGTTTGGCTTTATAGAGTGTATGTACCACTGTTCATTTGTGTTTGATTTTTAAAATCCAGGGTACTGTAAAGACAACACAAACAGAACTTTCTGTTTGGGTACCTGTCATTGCTGTGTGAAAGACCAGAGCAACTTAGAGATGTTTTATACACACTAGAGATGTGATTTGTCCCTCTTGATCACAGTTGGTGGAAAACTTGGCTTCTGCTGCCTGGACTTGATCTTGAATCCTGGGAAAGGAAGTTAACTCTGTTAGCTAACTGTGTTAGCCTTGCAAGAGTCAAACAACAAGGAGCAGTTCAGGAGTGAATGCTGGGGCTCTCTCCATGCTACAAAGCTCATATTGCTGCTGCTGTAGGGATTGCTTTGTGGGGTGGAGCTCAGGAGGTCACCTGGGAGAGAGATTCTTCAGAATAAAAGGCTAAACAGTAAAACTGGTCTTTTGCCTTATTTTCATGAAATGTCACGTTAGCACAAACACACCAGCAGTGTGGGCTGCAGCATGGAAGCTCTGGCACTAAATCCATGGAGAGAATTTCAGAAAAAACTTTATTTTTTTTTAATTGGAATCAGCATGAATGTATGATTTAGTAACTATATTTTATATACATATAACAGCAGAAACTTTACATTCCATCTTCAAACTGCTGAAATAGAACTTCTGTTTTAAAATTTTTTTACAAGCCAGAAAAATAATTGCCACTGTTTCTGTGTGGTCATGCAAACTGTGTAAGTTACAGGTTTACTTCATCATGATGTAAAAATGCTGCTTTTAAGGAAGCAGTTGGTTTGCACTCTGACAAATGTAGCAAAATATTTTTAAATGGAGTGTAAGGCCATACCAATTTTTTCTGTGTGATATATATAATCATGTAGAAAAGACAGGGAGGTCCTTTTTTAAAGGTGGGTAGGGAGAAGACATGTAAGCACTTCATGATCAAGCTAGTTTAGTCTTTTTTGAAGAATTTTACCTCCTAAGTTTTAAGTACAGATACAGTACTTCATACTCTGTATTTCTCTAGTACCTCCTCTGTTCCTGAGGGGGGAGTAGCATAAAAATTAATAAGCATTGACTTTTTCCATTATTTTCTTTCAGACTTCTGTTGTTAATAAACCAGCAGAGGTACTCAGAGAGCACTTCACTCTGCCTTCTTACCTTAACACCAGTGATTGATTCTTGCTCTGTGAATACTTTTTCAAATTATCTCCTGTGAGATGCTGATAGTTTAGCACCTATCTTGCAAGGAAGAAGCTAAAACAGGGCATTGAAATAGTTCATATTCAGCTGTTTTAAAGAAGCTCTTGAAGTTAAAGGGAGAGGTGAGTTTTGTCCTCTTAGCAGCAGCTGCCTCTTTTTTTCATATGCTTAAGAGTTGATTAAACTGGGGCAGTTTTAATGCCACTACTTCCTTCTGAGGTCTCAAAATTGAAGAATGAAAAGAAAATGCTCTGGCCTTGTTGCCAGTCCTTTCCTGATTAAGAAAAAGCTTGAGGAAA